TATTTTAAGTTAGCAAGATGTTTCATGGAGTTGTTTTTGTATTATATTGTGCTCAGAAGTACTTGGTATATATCTTGTTTACTTGTGAGTTTCAGAAGAGGAGACCAGGAAGCTATCTTTTACGTATACTTAAACGGCAAGGCTCTTAGGTTGGGCGCTATACCAGAAAACGAAAAGAACTGGTCGATTAAAAATCCTTCACATAAATGAACTGAATTATTCTTACTGAGATCACAAAAGCTAAATCTCAACGTCATTTGGAACTTCAAGTTCTAGCATTTCGTGCTGATTTCGCCATATAGAGACAGTACAGATCAGTGAGCCGATATTTTACTTGCTTTTTAAGGATTAATACGACAAAGCAAACAACTTGATCACAAGCATCCGTATAATGAGAGTTAGTTTTAAAAGAAATTGTTGCTACCTCGATTGGGGAACGGAGAATAACACAAAGTTCTGGTTTCAACTTTGTTGATAAAGTCAATTTTCCACCCTTGAGAGTGTGAAAAGGCTGTGGTTTCAAGCATTTGTCCTCCGATCCAAAGCAAATCAAGGGATTGCGGTTTCTGTGGTTTTTACAACCCAGGTAAACTAAAGTAGAATTTACCTTCCCTGGTGATGTTTTTGCTGGATTGCGATCGTGCCTTTAGGTTCGTTTGTGTTCCTCCATAATGCGGTGCAGTGTCTATCGAATCAGCTCAGTGATTCGATAGGGGAGAGGCGTTGACTCGTTCATACCTAAGATGCGCGCGTCAATCAGCCCAACTGGAACCATAACCCGTGTGCCATGACTGACGTCATTTGAAACTTGATGCCGGCAGTACTTGTGTAGGAGGAATTCATTTTCCTAAGCAAGCCCAGCGATTCTGTCAAATGTGCCAGAGGTATGACCGAAAAAAAAAATTCGGATAAATTTGAATGTTTTCGCACGGAATGGCCTTGAATCATCCTAAAGTCCTCTTGCTCTTCCTATCAAATCAATATTTAGATCAAGCATGCTGGTCCGAAGCTAATCAAAGAAAAAAAAACTTAAAAGGTAAGGATTTAATCAAGCAATCTAGAAAATGCTAATTCTGCTTAGCATTGATGCAAAACTGACTCGGTTGCCATCATAATCCAATGATGACGCACACGTCACGAAGACATAAAAATGTTATGAGACATCTTTTTCAATTATAGCTTCAATAGTTTTTTCAAGTTTAAAGTTAATTCAGGGTTGGCCTTAAATGATCGTTGCCCTTAGCCAATAAGATTGGAGGATTTTTTCTTCAAAGATATGATCAATACCGCAATAGCCAATATTGGATGACCTCTCTTACTATTCTATTGAACTTTTTGTGTGCTGTGTTACTAAAATATATGCGTTGTTCTGTAATAAAGAAAGCTGTTTATTACATTTATTTATTTATTTATTTATTTATTATTTGTAGCATTTCTTGCAACATAAATTTAGTGTTAAAAAGGGCCGAGCGGAGGGAACAAGGTATATATCTATTCATTTGAGCTCAAACTTTGCAGGATGGTAGAACTTATGTTTTTTGTTTTTCGATTTGAACGTTTTTGGGCGGGAAAATGACGTCACAAGATTGACAGCCATATCTTGAAATTTTAAGTTTTAATATACGCCCACCGTGGAAGGTTTATAGATTTGTCGCGTGCGCAGCGCACGTCAACGCGCTCGGCAATCGCCGATCGAGGAGTGATCTTGCTTTGGTCATAAATCTTTTTCTCTATCACATCGGTTTCGGCGAACGCAGTTGCCTAGCAACAAATTCGCCACGGCGTATTGACGCCATCCAATATGACTTCATGCCCACAGATTAGAAAAGGGTTTGAGATCGATGCTCTGCACTGTCGTCTTTAATTCATGACTGAGAGTTGTTTGTTCAGCGTCTGCGAAACAATGGTTACCGTTTGTAAATAACGAGCAATTAAAAGCAACAAAAGCAAGCATAACAACGCTGGATTCACCAACTGGCTGGAAATCCTCGCCGGAGAAGATTTTCCAGCAACGGAGAAGAAGACAACAACAAACCGCGGAGCAGAGAGAACATCGCTTAGCAAAGCGAAGGCAACCCCGTCAACAGGACACAGAGGAGAGCCAGCGACAAAAAAACAAACAAACAAACAAACAACTATCCCGCTGCAAACGAAACCGATGAAGAGAGCTTGGGGGACCCATCGACTGCTTTGTGTAAAATATCTGTTCGGAGAAGCAAATATTGCCGAGAATTTTCTATGGCTAAAAATTCCTATAAAGCCGACCGTTCCATTCATGCACGATTCTCGAGCTCAGAAGATTGATTTCACTGCCTAAGTTAGGCTATTTTTCTTACTAAAATGGAAACCTCAAATTTTCGGATTCAAAAATGTGATGAAAGAGGAATCAGAAAAACTTTCACTGAGTAATACGCTAAATTGCATCCAAGATTTTCCTGAAAATAATACTGAAGTCCTTCTTTTTTCGACAAGACTCAAGTTCTCCTAGGATGACCGAACAGTTACAATTTCTATAGCGTCACTTAGAATTCACTTCTACTCTGGATAGTCTATTTTAAAAGGTGTTTTCAATGTATTTAGGAGAAAACCGACGTTGGGTGCCCCTGAGAGAGGGGGCACTGACTGCCGACCCTTCGAGAAAATGCAGTTATTATTTTCTTCGATGTAACTACAGGCAGTAAGAATTACACGATCTGAAACAATGCATGTGAGGAATATCTTTCCAACGGACTGAGGACAACCAATCAGCCTTTACACCATGAGCAACAATAGGGCCATTTATACGAGGAAAATAAGACGCGTCTTAAATAAGACGCGAACTTTCCGTATAAACGGCACATTTCGTCTAAAATAAGACGCGGCTTAGCTAAGACGCGTCTTATTAGATAAGACATGCTCGTATAAATGGTCCAGTTCGCGTCTTATTTAAGACGCGTCTTATGTAAGACGCGTCTTATTTTTCCTCGTATAAATGGCCCTAATGGGTTTTACAGTAAGCTTTATTTTAATGTGTGACATGTAGGGAAGCGTCACATTTGTAAACAAAATCCTTACTGAACAAAATTTTCGTTTACAATGTTCATTACATTTACCTCCTCAAAAACATCCGGTGAGAAACTCGCCCTCCCCAGGTACACAATCTACTCCCTTTCTCCCGCAACCTCCCATCCGTAACATTTCATGGGCCTCCCCCCGAGTTCGCGACGTTCTGCGATTCACGTATTTCTAGTTAACTGTCTCTCTGTCCCACGCATTGACAGACATATCAGTTTAAAAAGTTATTTAGCGGTGGAATATGGTCCGATATAATGCTAGGCGGGGTGTATAGTCCATTTATAGAAACAGACATAAGATTGTGTAACATTTCCAGAGGCTTGGTGAACATTGCTTGTCAAAAAGTGCAGCCTACTCAGTCAGCGGCTTTAACCGGGGGCACGTAAACTTCGGCATTCTTTTTCAAGGTAGTATCATTCTTTAATGCTGGCATGGTCATACGAAAATGTTAGTAAGGCTACATTAGATGCCACTAAGTAATACCTAGCATATGTAAGTGATGTTTCTACGGTAAAAATTCTCCAAGGTTGAGAGGAATTTATTAGAGCAAGAACAGACATGATATATATAATTTCCCTCGAAGTTCTCGATTCTTTTTCGAATTTTAGAGCCGATTCTTGTGTAACTGGCTTTTCTGTAATTAGTTAGGGAACTAGGTCAGCGCACCTTTCGTCCACTCGATATTTTACATTTCCTATTTCCTATTCAAAAACAGAATCACAAATCACACTCTCAGTTTCCTTTTCCTTTTTAAAATTCTACCAATCCAGAACCTTAATTTATGTAAAACACATCTTTTTATTGAAGTTTTAGTTAAAACCACTTGACTCCATTAATGTACGTGAGAAAAACGTCAGATTCTCAAAAATTTAGCAGAATGTAGAAATAACGTTCAGTTTAATTCCAGCCAAAGGAAAAAAGCAAAAAACAAATTCAACTACTTCTTTTTTACCGTTTTTCCGTTTTATGTGCAAACTAATTCAGAAAACGCAAACGGAAGTCGATTGCGGTTTTCCATGCAAACATATACATATATATATAAAAGAAAAACGAAAGACATTTTCCGTTTTCCGTTTTTCGTTTT